GCTCTACTCCAGCACACTATGAGCCACCGGTGTTTGCCGCCCCCTCCTCCAGGTGCAGATGCTTCTAGAAAACATGTTGCTTTCAGAAATACACACTTCAATTGCCAAATGATCCCACTCCAATAGATAACCAGCCTCTCCAGGCCAAGAAAAAAGGCTAAATTTGACCTGCCCTCTGCTTGGATTTCTAAGGTATTTGTTGAATAGTCATACACTTATAACTTACATCTCTTCACATTTCAGATGTACATGTGCTTGCACAGTTTTCAAGTGTCCACTGTTCACTTGGGTGGGAAAGTATGATATTCTTATGTAGTACAGGCTTTAAACAAAGCTACACCATCACAGAAGTGGCAAAAGAAATCTTAAGGTGAATGAGGTCTTGTTTTTAGCCATAGAAATTCCTTAAGAATCCAGTCTCTAATGTACATTTTGGGTCCCACAAAGCTTGAATACAATTTTGAGAGTTGTCAGAACTCTGCCTTTGCTATTTCACTGTTCCTTAGCATCCTCACCAAAAGGTAGGGAAGAAAAAAAGGGCTGGCTTTGTCTCCTCCTCTAACCCATCTTCCTCGCAGTATCTGAACAATCTAGCTGAAGCAACTGTCTTATGCTTTGCCACCATCCATGAGAAGGAGGGCAAGTTCCTTCCCAGGGCCTCCCAAACTCTCCCCAGATGAGTTGAACCGTCTCTCCAGCTTCAATCCTTGCCACTAGGAGCTGACCCCTAACCTCCCACACATCACTAAACAGCATTCTATTGCCCACAAAGACATTGTTTTTGTTTCTTTCTTTTTTTTTTTTTCTAGAAGCAGCTCCTGCTCCTCTTCTAGCCTTTATAGTTCAGTCTTTCAGGAAGGCTACTTTGGCCTTCTTCCCATTCCCATCCCAAGTTGGGTTAGAAACCCCTCTGGGAGGATTTATTATTTCTTAGGAATATTTCTGTCATGCATGTGCCAGGCTACTACTATCATCTGTTTAAGTGGCTGTCACTCTCAATAGATTGTGAGTTATTTCACACTCAGGGATGGGCCTTTTATTATTCCCATTAGTTCCATAGCCTGAATGCTCTTAAGAGCTTAGTGAAAATGATTTTTTTTAAATAAATAAACAAACAGATTGGAATAAAAACCTTTCTAGAAATTGCCACTCAATGTCTAAGTAGGTTAAGAAGCTGAAATTATAGGCAAAATTTTCAGTTTTTGAGTTTTTGGAAATACCTAACAATTTTAATTTTCTATAGTAGTCTTCCAGAATAGTAGAAATAACTCAAAATCAGCTTTCTTACTCTAGTAAGAAGTCCCTTAACTTGTTGCCTAGCAAAGCAATTAAATAGAGCTTGTGGGCTATAACTAAAGCATTTGTCAGAGGTAAACTCATAGCATTCAATCCAGTTTAAAGAAAAAAACCACCAAATGAATAAAAGCAAGTACCCAAAAGAAATCATAAAGCTAAGGAGACAGAGAAAAGAAATTAGTAAATAAGATTCATTATCAAGAAGATAATGAATTAGAAAATTAAAAAAAAAACAGCACAGATAAAAACTAGGAACAGACAGTGAGGAAAGTAAGAGGTAGGAAGCTAAAAGCACTTAAAGTGGTTTCTAGACATGAAACTGTTTCTGATGACAGATAAATTTAAGCTCTGAGGCCAGAGAGACATCAGAGCTCCTATTTCTTTGTTTGCATACCCATCTTTCTCTAAGAAGTCACAGACATTTATCATTTGTCTCAGTGAATAAGAAATGACAACAACTTTCTTTTAAGAAAGAAATTAGGAAACAGCTAGTGAAGAAATGTACCAGAGCCTGTATTAAACCATTAATTTGTGTTATTAGTTATTTGCCAGAAAAAGAACAGATAGATTTTGCAAATTCTAAATTAAGGAACTATTTTCTCTGAAGAGAAGGGGCTAAATATCATAAACTGAGTTTTAAAGAGTGTATTTTAGCCAACAACTTTCATGAGTCAGAAACCATTTACGCCTGAGAGCCTTTATGACTAAATTAATGTTTTCCAAGTATACGGCATTTACACAATACAAGAAGGCTTTCCTACCAACAAAGATGCTGAGGTTGACGGAAGTTAAGTGAACTACTCAAATTCACACAGATGTCTGGATAGCTAGTCCAACTACTTTTTTTTTTAAATAAACGTATTTTTTTATTGTGAAAATAGTGTACAGAGGGGTTACAATTACAAAGGCAAGATAATGAGTACATTTCTTACCAAGCATTGTAGCCTCCTCCTTTGTTTCCCCTTCCCATCCCTTTTCATCCTCCCCCCTCCGTCCTCCCCACCAAAGTTGTAAAGTTTGTTTTTCGACATAACTACTTGTACATCTCATTGTTACAATGGGTCCTCCTGTATCCCTGTTTTAACGATTTGTTTTTTCCCTTCCCCTCCACATATACCAACATCAAATACAGTGAAAGCAGGGGTTATACCATGGGCGAGGGACATACAAAGCAACAAAGACATAATCTTATAAATATATTAGAAACAATCCCATGGAAGATCTCTCTCTCTCTCTCTTTTTTGTCAGCCATGGGGCTTGAGCTCTAGGCCTGAGAGCTGTCCCTAAGCAATTCAGCTCAAGGCTCATGCTCTACCACTTGAGCCATAGCGCCACTTCTAGTTTTCTGGTAGTTTTTTTTTTAATTGTGAAAATACTGTACAGAGGGGTTACAATTACATGCGCAAGATAGCGAGTACCTTTCTTATCAAGCATTGTAGCCTCCTCCTTTGTTTACCCTTCCCATCCATACCCATGCCCCCCCCAAATTGTAAAGTTTTGTGGGATAGTGATGCTCATTTAAAGTCACAAACTCATTCTAACTTTCCTGGAGCAAATTGTCTATCACGGTCTATAACATACAATGGTATACACATATACACCATACATGTGATCAGCAGCATGGGTTATTTAGTAGTGGTTCGACCAGATGAGTGGAAGTTCTTTGTTTCTTAAGTCCTGTTAATTTTGTCATATCACCTAACATTTTGGATTTAACATCCACTTATCAGGGAGACCATGTACCGTTTGTCTCTTTGCTCTTGGCTTACCTCGCTCAACATGATTTCTTCTAGCTCCATCCATTTCCCTGCAAATGCCACCAACTACTTCTTTAGTAATGCACAATATTTATTTCATACTACAGCACCAGGCACAAAGCACTTTATGTTCAAGTCTCTGAACTTTAAAACTGACATCTAATGGCAGGTTCAGATCCTTCTAATCAGCAATCTGATGGACCTGAATGCACTGACTGAAGGTTTCTTGCAGATAAGAGAGTTGGACTGAAGAAGGACTGCTTCCCAAGAGGAACTTACTAACCTTGACTTTTTTCTTTTTCTCTCTCTCTTTTTTGCTGGTCCTCGGGCTTGAACTCTGGGCCTGGGTTCTGTCCCTGACCTACTTTTCCTCTTTTGAGCACTCTACCACAGGAGCCACATCACCACTTCTAGCTTGAGTAGTTTATTGGAGATAAGAGCCTCACAGAGTTTTCTGCCTGGGCTGGCTTCGAACTGCAATCCTCGATCTCAGCCTCCTGAGCAGTTAGGATTACAGGTATGAGCCACTGGCATCAGGCTAAACCTTAAATTTCTACAGGATTAGGATCTTACTATTTTACAGGCTCTGAAATAGAACAAATAATGGGAAATGAAAACATGTAGACACTAATATTTGCTCTTTTTCTTTGTTAGTTATGAAGAAAATTATTCATTAATCTTGTTGCTTCCAGGTATTCATTTATAAACTGGAAACTGCAATCACGGACCTCATGACAGAAGTATAACATATCATTGGCCCATTTCTCATAGCCATTTCTGAGTTTAAAATTCTTTGTCCTACTATGGTCAACATTCTATACCATCATTCTATACCATCATTCTTTCCCATCATTCGATCACTAAAATCTACCTCTTTGATTCCTTTCAAATCTCAGCTCTGACTTTGTTAAGTTTCTTCTTTCTACTTCACATTAGATTTCTTCATCTACACTCTTTAAAATACAACGGATTTGAAAAAGAAAACCATTAACATCAGGAGAATGCCAAAGCAAATCTAAAGTCACAGGGGAGCCTTACCTTTCACTCTGGCTCTAATTGTGTTTACAAACAACGAAGGTACCACCAGGGAGCAGTGTGTTACCTTCTTGAAGCATGTATGTGAACTCTTTTTCACCTTCTTTTTTTTAAGCTTTGATTATTTATCACAGGTATGACCCATAAAAGAATCTGACACAATAGAGATACAGCAAAATATAATCATGATGTTAAATTTTAAGTTGTTTGGAAGACTTTGATGCCATTCAGCATTAAGGAAGGTATAGCTTCTTTTTCTAATTGTACATCATATGGATTATCAGAACAAACAAAGAGAACACAAAGTTTTTAAAACTGTCATTTAACTTCACTGTGTTGTAAACTTGTTTTATACTCATATACGCTGGTCCTTATTTTTCTGTCCATGAGTTTACTGAGTGACCTTGATCACCTCATTTATTTCAGACTCAGTTTCCCCCATCTGTAAATTGGATAGAATGATGTATATTGGCTAAGGGTATAATTCTTTATTAATCTGTACCTATAAAATATTCTGAAATCATAAAATAAAAGCAGTATAGTGAGGAGGGGAATAAAGGTAATGTTACAATGTTCTGGTAAAAAGATTTCTAAACCTAGGACTTACTGGTAATTTTTACCAAAGACAAAAGTTATTTTTAAAAATCCTTTAAAATTATATTTACAGCTGAATATTAAAGCCTATTTATCTGTGAAACAGGTATATCATAACCAGTACCAGACTGCCTGCAACACTCATTTTCTTTATTACTTTAGTAGCATTTTGGTTCTTTATTTAGATTGATACAAACCAATGCTCATTTGAGAGTCATCAACATACGGGAAACACTGAAGTCTGGGAAGGACTGGGCACACCCCATCAATCTTAATCTTGGATTCAAAAAGCCCTTTGGCAGCACATTCTGCCCATACCTGTTGAGAGAGGAGACTGATGTGGCTGGCGGGAGAATACTGCCTTGCTGCCTGTTTCTCAGCCAGCCTCTGGAGTTCAGCTGTAACCAGAGTTTGGTTGTACCGTTTGTTGTAGAAACCATCGTCTCCTTCTTTTTGTGTTTTGGCTACTCCTGAATGATGCTTGTGAGGATGGCATAAACCTGCTGAAAAAGAGAAAAGTTCTCACCCACTTAGGAAAATGGACCTGAAAAAGAGATGAGGATGGTGACAAAGAAATATCAGGCCAACTGACACTTTATTGAATCTACGGATCTTTACCATAAGGAGTAATAAATGAAGTTTAAATGGTGACAAAAAAGTTCTTCCTGTAGTCAAACTGCTATATGCATTTTTAATGTGTTTCTGCTTATCATGAAAATGTCACAAAAATTTTCATCACAGGTGCTGGGGAAGAACTAATTTTAGGATTTACGAATCTTAATAATTTTTAAACATTGGCTGAGCAAAGGATACAACTCAAGAGCATCATACTCCCTACATGCATTAGTCTTTGTGATGGATCCCAGTGCTGTCAGAAAAAAAAAGGTTTTGCAACTCATAATTCTTAGTTTTACCACCTGTAAGTTTTACACTTGTAACTACACTTGTAAATCTGTGACACCCATAATACTCACAATACACCAAAGGGAAATAGGAATGAAATAGGAATGAAAGAAAAACTGAAGGTACATAGAAAAAACAGCATTAATTTTATATTCTCAATGTCAACTTTACAGATTTATTTTCTTCTTTCAGCTAATTTTGTGAGAGTTGTTATATAACATAAAACCAAGACTGTAAAAATCACACATCTCTGGGCTGGAGGAAACAGCTCAAACAGCACAGTACCTGCCTAGTGAGTATAAAACCCTGAATTCAAGCCCCAGTACCTCAAAATAAATAAATAAAAGTATGGATCTCATTTTTAAAAAATCACAAAACCTAGAAAAGTAGTTAACACCACAATATATTTTTCTTTTTGTTTATTTATGTGCAAAAAACTACCTCAACCACTGAGCCATACTCCTAGAGCCTTTCTATCCTTTTATAATTGTTAATTTGTTGTCCTTTTGTATACATAACTTATTAATACTAAGAAATCATTTTCATGTCCACTATATCATCTGTTACACCCACAACCTTTACAATGATTGTGTAATATAAGTATATTATAATGAATGCCTATTAATTTTCTACCAAGGACATGGCACTCAGAAGCTACGTTACCAATAATATGCATTAGCCCATGTGCTCCTCATCCCTAATCTCTGATCAGTTAAATTATAATTTAAAATATACATATATATTTGCATAAATAAAATACTAGGTAATTTAGTTACTTTGAAGCTCCATTAAAATGGTATCCTACCATAATAGTTTCCCTTGAACTTGCTTCAACACTATATTATTAAGATTTATACCTGCTGAATATAGCTGGTATTTCATTTAACAGATTCACCATAACGTTTCAATTCCCTGTTATTTATGAACAGCTTATTGCTGCTATAAATGTCAGTCATACATTATCCTGTACCTCTCTGCTGGTGCATGTATAGAATTTTCTGTGTCTATGCCTATAAGTAGGATTTCTGGTAACACAGTGACCATATACTTTCCCCTATTTTACTAGTCATCGCTAGGCAAGTGCTCTACCACTTGAGCCATATCTCCAGTTTTAATCTCACCCTCATTTAGTCTTTTAATAGTATGTCAAACATCACAATTCTTCTTTCTCTACATTATAAAATAACATTATAGTCTTCACTTACATTCCCTTAATAATGATGTTCAGGATATGCTATAACTTTTCTGATGTTGGTTATTGCTCTATTGTCTTTTTCATCTTGACTTACTGAAGTTGTGCTTTATACATATTGCATATATATGCAATTTCATTAATCAATCCCTGGGGTGCTGCCAATACCATGCTGTCTTGTTATCATATCTTCATACTAAGTTTCAATAAGGTACTCCTCTATCTTATTTTTCTTCTTCAAAAGGTCCCCACTCATCCAGGTGCTGGTGGCTCATGCCTATAATCCTAGCTACTAAGGAGGCTGAGATCTGAGGATTATGGTTCAAAGGCAGCCGAGCAGGAAAATCTGTGAAACTCTTACCTCCAATTAACCACCAGAAAACTGGAAGTGTCATTGTAGCTCAAGTAGTAGAGTGCTAGCCTTGAGCTAAAGGTCAGGTACAGCACCCAGGCCCAGAGTTCAAGCCCCACGATCAACAAAAACAAAACAAAAGGTCCTCACTCTCTGACCTTTCTATTATTTTAAGTTTATCCAGTTTACAGCAGAAATTTAGGAAATTATTCCTACATGTGTACATATTTATCCATTTATTCATTCCAAACATTTTTTGCTGGTGGTGAAGATTATACACTTGATTATATTTAATGCCATTTCAGCTTTAAAATAAATAGGTGGAGACTGGTAAACTGGCTAAAGTGGTAGTATCAAACTCCAATACAGTCCCCAAATGGTCATTTTTGTATATTTTTTCTTAAAACTATTGCTTTCTGGGCTGGGAAGGTGGCTCAGTGGTAGAGTGCTTGCCTTGCATGCCTGAGGCCCTGGGTTCTATTCCCCAGCACCACATAAGCAAAAAGACAAAAGCCGGAAGTGGCACTATGGCTCAAGTGGTAGAGCGCTAGCCTTGAGCTGAAGAGCTGAGGGGCAGCACCCAGGCCCAGAGTTCAGGCCCCAGGACCGGACCCCCAAAAAAACAAAAAAAAACTATTGCTTTTTTCATGCCATTTATATAGCTAAAAATAATTATATCTAAAATGCATCTATGGTTTTGTTTTTTGGGTGTCCGGGAGCTTGAACTCATGGCCTGGGTGCTGTCCCTGAGCTTCTTTTGCTCAAAGCTAGTGCTCTGTTACTTTGAGCCACAGTGCTACTTCTGGCTTATTCTGAGTAGTAGACTGGAGATAGGAGTAGTCTCACGGCCTTTCCTGCCTGGGCTGGCTTCAAACCATCAGTAGGATCCTGCTTCCTGAGTAACTAGGATTATGGTGTGAGCCACCAGTATCAGGCTTATTTTCTCTGTCTCTCTCTCAAACTTAAATGCTTTTTCTTATTGTGCTGGCTCTGACTTCCTGTAAAATGCTGAAAAGAAACAACATTAGTGAGCATCTTCATCTTGCCCCTAATGTGAAGGTGAACAACCAGACCACTAGCTCTTGTAAGTATGGGGCAAATACCATTCCCAGGTTAACAGGGTTTCCTTCTTAGTATGAATGTTCATAAATGAACACAGCATATTTTTAAGTCTTTTTCTGCATCTATCATGACAATATGAACATGGGTTTCTCTTCTTAAATCTGTTAACATGGCAAATGACACTGTCAGGTTTTTTTTTTTTTTAAGTGCTACTACATTTGACTGGCTTTGAAATTTTTGATTATAGAGTTTTTGTATTTCGGTTCAGAAATGAAGCTGGTGTATAATCTTACTCTGTAGTGCTGTTCTTAACTGGTTTTGTAAAGATGAAACTAGCCACACAAAATAGAGCCATTTTCTATCCTCTTGAAAAATTAAATATTAGAAATGTCCGCTTTTTTTAGAGAAATACTAGGATTACCTATCAAACTATCTTGGCTTTATATTTTCTTTCAGAGAAGAATTTTAAGTTTATCAGTTGTTCTAATACTCATAAAACAAGGCTGTCTTCATTTGAGTCATTTTACATACTACACTTTAGGAGGAATTTGTCCACTTTTTAATTAGAATAGCAATAACAGTGTTCTAATTATTTTTTCATCTATGCTATCTTTGTATTTCATGTCAGCTTTCTTATCCCTTATTTATCCATGTCTTCTTCTTTTGGTAATATTTTTATTGATGTTTGTTCACTTTTGGTTTTGCTAGAATTTATTTTTGAATTCTATGGGTTTTGCTCATATCTTTATGTCTTTCTCTTTCATTTAGGTTTAGGATAGTGTTATTTCTTTTAGCACATTAGTTTTCACTTTTATCCTTTTTTTGTGTGTGTGTGTGTCCCGTTGTGGGGCCTGGGCGCTGTCCCTCAGCTCTTCAGCTCAAGGCTAGTGCTCTACCACTTGAGCCACAGCACTACTTCTGGCTTTTTTCTTTTTGCTTATGTGGTGCTGAGGAATCGAACCCAGGGCCTTATGCATGCAAGGCAAGTGCTCTACCACTGAGCCACCTTCCCAGCCCTACTTTTATCCTTTTCAGGTATGTAAATTTCTAATATTGCCTATCACTGTTTTCCCCATGCTTGGACATACAGTTTTCCATTATCATTCAGTTCTAATATACTTCATTTCCATTATGATTTCTTCTTTCACTCTTCTTTTTGAAATATACTGAGATGTATTAAATATCTGTCATTGCCTGCAACTCAATTTGCAGTATGGACAAAGAACAATGCTGTGTGGCACAAAGCATTTCATGAGATTTTATTTTGTAATGTAGTACATGCCTAATTTTTTAGTTATATCCTACATATCATGTGTGCTTAAGAAAGTATTTTGTTTTTCCTGGGAGGATGGTTCTATACATGATCAGCACACACATATATTGTTTTATCATATTGTCTCTTCTTCTATGAATAAAAGGTTTCATAATTCAGCCTAGTCTGGATAAAGGGAACAATCCTCCTACTTCAACCTCTTGAGTACAGGGATCATAAGCAGGTGTGTGTTACTATGCCTAGACTGCTCACCTTCTATTTAGCATTTCTACTTAAAAAAAAAATTGCCAGGCATGGACCAGCGTACATGTGAAAAAGGAAAATTTTGGAAGATTTTGAGTTCAAGGTCAGCATGAGCTATGCAATGACAGTATCTCAAAAAAAGCCCATTTATTATACTTATAATTAACAGAATTATGTAGAAAGTTTCCACTAAGACAGTGTTTCTGCAGATTACTCATGTACTTCCATGAATTTCTGTATCACAGGCTAAGTATTTCTTATTCAAAATGCTTGGGGCCAGAAGTTTTTTGGATTCAGGATACTTTCAGATTTACAGTCATGACTGTCCCAGAGAATTACAACAGAATTGCAAAATCTCCACGTCTTAGTGACACTATAGTCCTCATTATGTTATAGAACAACACATTAATCCCACGTTTGTGCTGGTGTTGGTTGAAATAAACCTACTGTGATGACAGCTGTGTTAAAGTATAGGGCATACAATATCAATATTTGATGATAAATTACTGTTACTGGTCTTAGTATTTACTATAGTGTACTTTTTATCATTATTTTAGAATGTACTCTTTCAAAGTAAGTTCACTGGCAACAGTCATGCATATATATTGTACTTACTAGGTATTTTATGGATACTCTGTAGGTTTGCATGAGCAGACACTATAGTTTTCCTAGATGATGAAATCACCTAATAATGTATTTCTCAGAATATTTCCTCATGATTAATTGATGCTTAATGTATGTAATGAGATATCTTGGCACTTGGTTCCATGTCTAAATCTGATAATCAATTAGGTTTTATATATACCTAATACCTTTTATAGCCTACAGGTAATCCTACAAAATTATTTTTAGTACATCTACATTTGAGTATGACTCATCCTGTGAGACCAGATTTGGTATAAGGGTGGTACTCAGAAAGTTTCAGAATTTGAAGCCTTTCCCATATGGATTTTCAGATTAGGTGTTCAACCTGTAAATATATGAATATTATTTTATTAAGTGAAAATACTTTCAAAACTGTTTCATCTTTCTGCTATAGTAAACCTTCTGTCATCATGTAGTTGCTTGCTCTTTTTGTCTATAAGAAAGTTTTCTATCTGAAACTTGATTTTAGCATGTGTTAGTATAGCCACCTTTTTACCAGTTGGCATTGAGCTGGCATTTCTTTATGATTGTACCTATTCTGTATCCTGATTCTAAAGTGTGCTTCTAGTGAACAGCAGATGGTTGTATTTTTGAAAACTTCAGACTGTAATACATTAGTAGACTGGGCTTGTCTTAAATTTCTCTTTTGTTTTTCCTATTCTAGCTATCTATACTTTTATGTTTGCGAGTAGCTTTTCTCCTCATTGTCCTCCCTATTGGTTTAAAATTTACATTATTCTTTTAGTGAGAACCACTGGATTTTGATACTGTATATTAAAATTTCAAAAACCCCATTGTTAAGTAATACCTTAAACCCATTCTAGAACTATTCAGTCATCACAGTAAAAACTGAAGCTGCAATCATTCATAGGCTATTGGTGCTACTATGTATTGTTGCTATTATGTGTTAAATACTATACATTTAATCCAATCAGAATATACAGAATATGTTGCCTGATCCCAGTAGAAATATACTGAGAATCAGTTACAAAAAGTAGAGAGCCTCAAATACATGTAAATTAAACAATATACTTGTAAATAATCACCAGCCAAAGAAGAAATTATAGAAGATAGAAAATAATTTTAAACTGGCTATTTTTTATTCCCTAGTCTTCTCTTGAAAAGGGTGAAAAAAAAAGTACTAAAAGTTTTCATAATAACATAGTGTACTAGGGACACTAAACAGAATTTCTCAAATGAGAAAATTCTCAAAAGAAAAATTCAGACCAGAACATGACTGATTATTACAATTTTTTACTTTAGACAATATAATCGCAGAACAATAGTCACCTAGAATTGGCGCATAGATGAATACATTCTTATTTATGACTTTAATTAGAGAAGACCACTTAAAATCTCTGATCCAAGCTGCATGTTATAATATTCATTTGCAATCAGGTATTAGTTAACCAATACAGATTTGCTATTCAGAAGGCATAACTTAGCGTTAACTCACCTTAACATGCTTATTACTAAAGTGTTTAAAAACTTGATTAATGTTAAGATACTCTTCCAAACGTTCTGCAGACTGATTGTACTTCTTATCAAAGTCCCATCTGCCTTTCCCCCCTTTTCTTTCTTTGCAGAAATGGACAAACTGTTCCGATAATTCTGATTGTAAGACATAAAATTCAGAGCAATCTAAGTAATCCTGAGGAGGAAGTATCATCCTTGATTTTACAACTTGTCATAATGCTACAGTATCAGTGTCATAACGTGGTACTGGCTTAGGACATATACAGCAATGAGAATTAAAGTGAGATTCCAGAAATAAACCTCTACATGGATGGTTAAGTGATTTTTCAACAAGAGCAAAGGACAATCCAATGGAGAAATAATAGTCTCTTAAACAAATGGCATCTTAACAGTTGAAAATCCACACACAAAAGAATGAGGTTGGACTTCTACATCATACCACATATAAAAATTAACTGAAAATAGATAGAAGACCTAAATTAAGAAATGTACAAAGAAATCTTTGTGACTAAAGTTAGATAATGCTTTTTCAGAAAAGAAACCAAAAACACAAGTAACAAGAGAAAAAAATAGACAAATTGCACTTAATCAAAACTAAAAATTGTCATACTTCAAGAAAGCGAAAAGACAACCAATAGACTGAGAGAAAATGTTACTAAGTCAATTATCTGACAAGGGATTTGTATATAGAATATATACATATATATATATATATATATACACACACACATATACAGAAACAACTCAACAATAAGACATTCTGATTTAAAAGTGGGTAAAGAATTTGAGTAGACATTTCTCCAAAGTAGATAATGAACAGCCAAAAAACACATGAAAAGATGTTCAACATCATCAGCCACTAGGGCAATACCACACACACATACACACACAAACACTCACTCTCTCTGTCACATACACAGGTGCGTGCACATGCATATTTCATACACTTCAGGATAAAAAATGCAATAAACATTAACAAGGATATAGAGAAACTGAAACACACCATTGATGATAAAGCCGTGCAGCCACTTTGGAAAATTTGTTAATTCTACCAACTTATTATGACCTAGAAACTTCACTATACACCCAAAAAGATACAAACATACGTCCACACAAAAACTGTGTATGACTTTTTATAGTGGCATTATATTTTGTCCATTGTAAATGGACAAAAACGACATAAAAATGTCCCTCAACTGACCAGCAGATAAAATATGTGGTATATCCCTACAGCAAAATATTATTCAGCCATAAAAAGATCAAAGTATAGTATATATGAAGAGCTTTGAAAACATTATTCTAAGTGAAAGAAGGAAGTTACCAAGCCCATCTATGTCACAATTCTACTTATATGAAATTTCCAGAGTAGACAAATCTATAGAAATAGAAAGCAAGTGGTTTCCAGGGGCTGGTAGAAGGAGGAAATAGTGGCTGCTAACAGATAGGAGGTTTCTTTCAAAGATAATGAAGATGTTCTAAAATCAGATAATGGTGTTGGTTGTACAACTCTGAATAAACTAAAAGCCACTGAACTTTATACTTTAAAAGAGAAAAATTTATGAATATGGGTTATATCTCAACAAAACTGCTCATTTAAAATGGGCTAGGAGCATAGCTCAGTGGCAGAGCACTTGACTAGCACATATGAGGTTCTGGACTCCATCCTCAGCATAAAAAAAATAAAAAAAGGATGGACCTGACTGGTAATATGATTCTATTTCATTTAAAATTAAATACTCTATTTAAGAACTCTCTGGGCTAGGTGCCAGTGGCTCATGTCTATAATCCTAGCTACTCAGAGGAGGCCCAGATCTAAGATGCCATTAAAAGCCAGCAGGGGCAGAAAAGTCCCATGAGACTCTTATCTCTAATTAACCACTCAAAAAAAAACTGGAAGTGGAGTTGTGGCTCAAAGTGGTAGAGTGGTAGCCCTGAGCAACAAGAGCTCAGGGATAGAGCCCAGAACCTCAGTTCAAGCCCCATGACTGACAAATTTTTTTTTTAAATAAAAAAATTCTCTGGGTACTTATTCAGATCGTTCTTTATTTTAAATGCACTGAAAAGTAAAACCAGACTAATTTTCTGGCGTCAAAAATAAAGAGTGCCTCTAGCACATTTGCAGGACTATGGTTATCTGAAATGGGAACTCTCCTGACTAAAGATACTAGATGACTTGTTTTATCCATCTCTTTCTCTTCAGTACCTAAATGAAGCTCTATTTCACTCTGAATCAATGAGTGAATGCTAGTGGACAAAATGCAAGGTCCTTCTTTAATCTCAGCAGAGCAATGCAGCATGGGTCCCTTTACCTCTTAAAAGAAAAGGCAAGGGGAAGAGGGCATTCTTTTTTTCATTTGGCTAGGAAGGAGCTGGCATTGCAGCCTGCCTTTCATTTTCTCACTCACCTGCCTTTGCTGAAGAGGAACGAGACAGTTTCTGGCTATAGATTTGTGCAGCACTTTGGAAAGAGGAAAAGGGGCCAGAGGTGTAACTGCCTGATCGACAGCGTGGCAGGCCAGCGGGGCTTGGTAGGTTCTCTGTCCCAGGATGTATGGAGAAAGAAGCACTGTCAGGGACTGGGTTCAGTAAAACTGTTGGCTGGTGAGGCATGCTGAGGATAGCTGAAGGAATCTGAGACAAAGAAAAGTGGACAGGCCCTGGTGAGAGGGCAGAGTTTTTCATAGATGACAAATGGGTGCTGGGAAGTTTCTGCAGAAGAGTAGCAGCAGGACCAGAGAAAGAAGCAGAGGAACAATTGGTATAGACTAATTTAGCCTCTTTTCCTGCTGAAGTGGTAAATCCTATTAAAACAAAAAACAAAACAAAAACAGATCATTTTAGAAAAAACAGACATATAATCTCTACAAAACAAACATTTTTAGAACATCAAAATAATGTTAACATGAAACAGAAATCACGAAGAATACAGACTACAATTTATACTCATCATGAACTTAATGAATTTTGCCTACCAGAGATGACCTGGCAAGAGAAACTTTATTTTTAGTCGGTTCTAAGAGCTGAAATTGGGAATACCTCCACAAATCAGAGCAGGCAAGCTTTACAAAGTTTCTGCAAGCAACAGCTAACGCCTCTCCCTCTCCTTTTCACCCTTCTAGGAAAAAAACAAAGTACTCAGAATTTCTAAATGAAAAAAAATCTTTGGAAGAAAAATAAGTTATCAATAGTTAAGAGGAAATTCTATGGGAAAAGGAAGAAAAAAAGGAAGAAACTTCTTTGGGTAATGTTCCATGCTTTTCAGAAATACTTAATACTGTATGACTGATGGTCTTTTTCTTTTAAAGATTTATTAGAGAGTAGCAGATCTATATAGGTTTGAAACACTCACGAGATAATTTATCAGAGTGAATCTCTGTGACCTGTTGCTGTTTGGGCTGCTTTATTTTCACTTCTTGTGTTGTCTCAGGGTGATCTGAAATACGAAATAAAAAACACTGAATTTAGACTCTCTTACTAATGAAAAGCACACCTAATTATGTTTACAAAATTATGAGTATTAAGTCAGTGCTAGAAAACACTGCATATATACCATACTCTTCCAAGGATGGCCACAGCAATAGCTCTGCTGACTAAATGATTCCCAGCTTTTCCCAACCCACCTCCATGTAACTAAGCCAAATTACACTGGGATATGAGATCAAGTTGGTTGGTGGTTCTCAATAGAGCCAAGAAGTCGTAACATGTATGGAGCATGGAGCTACCATGCAACACATACACACATACACATAAAAAAAAGTCTCTCTCTACTTGTTAGCATGATACTTAAATACTACACAATGGCTATGCCTCAGTTTCACTTGAGATGGATTCATCAATATAGTCAGTAATAAAATCATTCTAGTAACTTTACACTGTTATGTGGTTTTCTCCACTATAGGATTTTGAAACAGTACAGCCAAAGCTAGTCATATACCTAGGGATATATTCCAAAATCCTTGTTAAAAGGTTCATACAAAAACTTAAGAGAAAGCCAAATGTAGTGGTTCATGCCTGCAGTTCTAGCTCTTTGAGAGGTTGAGATTTCTAGCTTGGGCAAAAACCTTACCAATAAAAAGCTGGTAGCACATCCATGTCATTCTAGCCACATGCTCTAACCTGACCTGGGCAAAAAGTGAGCCTCAGTCTGGAAAAAACAAAAGCTGGCAGCATAGCTCAAGCATAGATCACCTGCCTAGCAAGTATGAGGTCCGGAGTTCAAACTGCATTACTACCAAACAAAACAAAAACAACACCCTAGAAGTCATTTTACAATTATTTTTCATTCTGGTCTCTCCATCACCTTTGCCACCAGCAATGGCAATATTGTTACCATACTTGTTTGTTCATGTTTGGTGTAAGTCCAGATATCACATTTTTAAATGCTGTTTCCTTGATTGAGGTCTTCATTCTGTCCTGCTAGGTTTTCTTAATTGATATAGACCACAATAGACCTTATACAAAGGTAGTTGCTAACACACGAACCCTAGAATTTCAAATGATCCATCTGTACAAATGGTACATATTGATTGGGACTTCTCTATTAACTGGTGAGGAAGAAGTTATGTAGGAATGCCTACATGAACAGACTGCCCCAGTGTGGGGAGGTGAGCATATTTTTCTCTACCCCAAGCCTCACTGTAAGAATTCCTCAACCTCCTTTCCTCAACACGATAACAGGAGCTTTTCAGAGCTGCTGTCAATCTTCTTGTAGTCATTAACCCAACTCCATTTATTGGGCAATAAAGTTTATAAAGTCAAGGTGGCTCAAGTAATTGTACTATCAGTAACTATCAAAGTGTCCAATCATAATAAGGGCTTAGTAAAAGTTTATAGAAGGAATGAGAAAAATCAATGAATCTAAAGCTAGAAAGGCTCTGAGGGACTGGGCTCAGAAGGACTGCTAGGGAGATACTAATTCAATTATACAGTTAGTTAAGTGGGCTCTTACAGATTAGCCTACAAACAAAAATCATCTGTTAAACACTGTGCTAGAAGTATAGCTCTGTGACAGAAAGCTTGTATAGCATGTTAGGTCCTGGATTCAATCCCCAGTATTTCAACACAATACAAAAACAATTTTTGGGGGGGGTGAAAATGTACTCCACATCTTAACCAATATTATTGGCGACAGTATTTCTAGTTAATACTAGCCTTGCGAGAAGGGATGAAGTCCCCATTTTCAAATCCAGAACTTAAAATACTTACAAAATTATTCTGCCTATTACCTATGCCTTTCACATACTTCAATTGAGGTTTTAAATGAACTTTACATTCAAAGCAAAGAAGTTTCTTTCTCTTTTTTCTTTAGTCAGTACCATGGCTTGAACTCCAGGCCTTGGACTCCCCTTCGCTTGCTTGCTCATGGTCAGTGCCCTACCACATAAACCATGCTGCCAACCTAGCCTTTTGTTGGTTAGCTGGAGATGGAGTCTCTCAGACTTTTCTGAGAGAAAAGCTGGTTTTGAACTGAGATCTTCCAGATTTTGACCTCTCAGGTAGCAAGGATTATAGAAATGAGCCACCTATACCTGACTGAAGTTTTGTTCAGAACACTACCACTGGTGTTCTCTTTTTTGAATCACAATCTAGACAGTTGTATCCAGGTTCAATTTCCAAATCTGTAGTCACAGAGTTCCTCAGTGGCAGGGGGAGAGGAGGGTGTACAACATGACATTCTTGGCTTGTTACAATGACTTGTGAAACCTGGAACCAGGAATGTCAAGTCATCCCACTAAGATCACAGCCCTGCAGAACCTAAAGTTCCACCCACAATGCCATTGACATGAGGAATCCGACTGGACAAAGGTAAGAGGTGAAAGAATGGATGGTAAGAGCACAGCTTGCCTCAGAAAGACTGAACAGGGAATCAAAATTCATCCTTGTGTGATAAAGAATGGCCTGAATAAGTTACTTGGTTCCTTCACATTTTGTCCTATGTAAAGAAGTTTCAAAATAATGCCCACTCTATATAATTTTTAGAAGTAACAATAAGATCATGTCCAGAAGATAGTTAAGAGTTCTCTAACCATTAATTATTAACAAGTATTGACTAAACACTAGCTTTTCCTAAAAAGTGTTCTGCTATTCATGATCATGGGGAAAAAACCCACTAGATCTCTTGATTCTTAGGACAAAAATTACTGCTCCCCTTTCCATCTCCTTGCCCTAGCCCTGTGCTGCAAAGTTTAGCCACTTTAGAGACTTAGTATTCAGTCAACGTATCATTAAATCTTGCCTGCATAGCCTACCTTTACTTTTTTCCCTGTGGTTTGAACTCAAGAGCTTCAAGCTCTCACTTGGTAAGTTTTTTAGCTCATGGCTGATACTACCACTTGAGCCACACCTCTCCTTCCAGCTTTTTGTTGGTTATTTGGAGTTAAGAGTCTCCCAGATTTGTCTGCCTAGCCATTCCCAGATCTCAAACAAATAAGTAGTTAAGATTAGAAGTGTGAGCTACCATGCCCTAGCTTCACTTTTTTTTTTTTCCAATTTCATTCCGTCCTTCCTTCCCACGATGGGAACCAAACCCAGGGTACTGTTCTTATTTTCCATTAATTAACTGGCATACTTACCACCTTTTGCCCCACTATCAGAATAACTATTTCGGTTCTTAGAACTTTTAGAGTGAGTCCCCAGGAAGACACTCGCAGATTTGTTTTTTTGGGTATAAAAAGTTAACACCTCTTCCAGTTCAGCCTCACTGAAATGAAGAGAAAAGGCATTGTCAGCAGGGAAAGTTGTTCTGGAAAATCTTTCTACCAGATTTTATTATGGAAACACACTAATCAGAAGAAAGGAAAAATGAAAAGCATAAGCTGAAAATTCATCATTAGTACATGGCCAAAATTAAAATATAGATGAAAATAATCTAAAGAATGAAAATCCTCATGGAGATATGCACTGTCTAATATGGTAGACATTAGTCATATAGGACTACTTAAAGTTAAATAAAAGTAGAGTCTCTTCTTGAGTTATCCTAGCCAAATTTCAAGCACTAAGTCACCCACAGAAGTTCTACTACACAGCTATACTTTTGGTCAGGAGTGCAACCCACAGATTGAGAGCCAAACACAATGAGCAACCTGTTTCTATAGGACCTGTACTTATGAATTTATGAATATATATACATAAATTCATACATATATAAATTTATATATACATTCATACACGAATAGGCAAAAAGGCCCTACAGTAGCTTATAGCAGTCTGCAATATTTATGTCTTTTTCCAGTGTCCATTCCATTTCTAAATAATTGAAGTCTCTTCACTAGAAAAGCCATTTGTCATTTTAATGGGCTATGTCAGAAATAAGGTGTCTTAGTGTTGTGAGCACAGCAGAGTTCCTGAACACAATGTAGCAGACTGACCTAGATCATCTCTAAAATAACTTGAAATTACTGAGATTACATGCTATTTATGAACATTCATAAAACAGAAAGTCCAAGGAATGAAATGAGAACCTAAGGAAATTCTCAATGAATGTAACTTGCATAGATTTTCTATCATGTGCAGCTACTTCTGATTGTCTTTTCCTTTTTCTTGAGTCTCAAAAACAGTTAAGTGCCACAATAGGAAGCTACTCCTCCCTGTCAGTGTGTTTTAGTTGGCCTGTCTCAGAAAGGCAATAGATAAAAGTTGGTCAAAATACAAGTGGCTCTCTAGATGTCTCTTCTTCTATGTCATCATTACATCTTCCTTCCTGGCTCCTGCAGATATTTGAGTATACCAGGCTTGACAGAAGTATCTGCAAACTCCCTAATTAAAAGGAGGAGCTGACACTAGTACACACTTCTCAGTCATCAACACTTGATACACAATCATTAGTAAATATCATCTAATGTATTTTATCTGCAATCTATATAAGTTAACATATATATGTTTATATATGTATGTATATATAGGTATACGGTTAATGTCTAGTATCTAGTTAGGTGTGCTGGTGAAATAAATATACATCACTTTTTTTAAAATCTGGAGGTTTTCCTCTTTAGTCTTTTAGGAATTTTTGAAGGTCCCTAAGGAGGAATCAGAAATTAATCTTTTAGCTTTAAAAGCAAAGTAATTTTCTGGATGTATTCTACCTTATTTCTTTTTCTATTTTTCTAATGCTGAAGTGAGAAACTGCTTCTTGCTTTGTTTGTATACCTGCTCTATCAATCATATTACCCAACTCCTGAGAATGTCAATGAAATGTTATTACATTATTACAGAACTCCTAAAAAATGATACATCTGTTTGCTGTGGGTAAAGTACATGAGGGGGTGGCTGTAGCATCTATACAAGGCACTATACACCATGCTCTGTTGGTACCTAAGTTCACAAATAATGGAGAGCTAATGTCCTACTCTTTTCATTATGACTTTGATGATGGAAGCCAATATTTACTAGGGTTTATAGTAGCCTTATTCATTATTTTATCTTACTGATTTTGCACAACTCTTCTTATAAAAAGGACCTCTAGTATGAGATTTTACAAAAACTTAAAATTGTCTTTTGTCATCTCTTCCTTTGGAAATACCATTTTAATGAATAAAATGTCCTGGTTGACTTGTATGAAGATAGAGTTGAACACTGAGATTATCAATTCCTCAAGATTAACCCCTAAGCATGAAGGACTTTATTATATAAATTAGGTGTAACCCTCACAGTGTTAAGAGATTGCCAGTTCCTCAACCCACTAAATTTAGGCAAAATTTGGTCATCTCTACAGCCTCAGTAGATCAGGGATAAATTCAATAAACACTAGAAACTTCTAGCCTCAAATTCCCAAAAGTTCCCTAAGTACTTCAAGGGTTGTATACTTTGACAACTGTCTAGAATGACAGCCCAGACACCCAGCAGCAGTGTTTTGATAACTGAAGCCATGACAACAGCAACATTACTAGCTGAGATATGGACAGGCCAAGCCTATAAAACTTTCCCTCCTTCTGAAAATATCCAAGTGTCAAAAACAGGGAAATGTGGGGCATTCAGTAAGCAGAATGGAAGACAGAGTAAGATGTTTTTATTAATCAGTAATTTTATTAATCAGTAATCTTCTACCTGGCTTGTGTGATGAAGTCTTGGAAGTTTTCTGCATTCACTCCATCCTCCTCCTCTTCTTCAAATTTTTTCTTTGATTTCTTTTCAGCCATTTGTTCTGTTTCCTATTTAATGCCCAAGCCCACAGAAAAACAAGATAAAATTGACTCCTGGTAAATGCGCAGTTCATCGTATTTTCATCACCCCGGGGTTAATTGGTCCTTACAGTAAAAACATTTAATTCTTCCATTTACTTGGCCAACTATAAATTAGATATATTACTACTGGCCATTATTTCATGAAATGTTTTGAAAGGTCCAAGTAACAGCTGAAGAATAAATGTAAATTTTTATCACTGTTTTACTTTCTACTTACGCAGCCCATTGAACAAAAGCTTTTTATAGTCCTTAGTAACATCTGTGCTTATATTGCAGTTCTAACAGTATTGTGGGATAACAGAGACAGTATTTTGTGTAATTAGTAAAGGAAAGATTAAGCTTGGAAGACTGTCTTATAGCAGCTTCCAAACTGAACAAATTTTTATGTGAGGCGTAAGAAAAGTCTGAACAGATCTGCAATAAATTGTTGATATGGGTTTAGTATTCTACTAAACATTTTGTACAACATTTTCATGCTAGTTAAATTTCAATGCCTGATCTTTTCCTTCTGAAATGACCATATTTTTTCCCTCAAATACTTTTTTGTGTGTGTGTCAGTACTGGGGCTTGAACTCAGGGCCTCATATTCTTACTTGACTTTTTTGCTCAAGGCTGGTGTTCTTCCACTTGAGCCATACCTCTATTTCTCAGTTTTTGGTGGTTAACTGGAGATTAAGGGTTTCATAGACTTTTCTGCCTAGACTGGCTTCAAGCCATGACCCTCAGATCTCATCTTCTGAACAGCTAAGACAACAGTCAGGCATGAGCCACTGGCACCTGGCAGCCCTCAAATATTTAACACATTCTGAGATACAAAGTGTCTTTTTAAGACACTTTGCAAAAATTCTAATTAGTGTATTTCCTAGGCTTGATTGTATAATTATCTCTCTATATAAAATAATTCAGAGGAAAAGTCTCTTAAAAATCATATTAAATTCACGTTCACTCTCAAATAGTCAGCTCTCCATTGTTTACAGTTATTCTCTTAAAGAAAATATGCCTTTGATAGGAACCAACCATGGCCACTGGCCTCTTAGAAGTAACCACTTTTCAGCTCAGTGGGTTAAGGTGTGAGGTACCATCCCCACGGACACCAAAACAGAACGGACAGTACTACCTACCAGAGAATAGAAAATTGAACAGAGGGGTCCAGCCTTTTTCTGACAATGTGTTGAAACTAATGCACAAGATTACCAGACAAACAATTTACCTTGTTGTACACAAGGATAAAGTCACCTAGTTGGTGAGCAAGGATTCTTCTGCGTTCCAGAAGTGCTAATCGTCGACTGGGTAGTATCATCCTCAGTGAATGCTGGAGGTTACTTGATGCTCGCTTGAGAAAACGAACTACCAGCTCCTGTAAGTTAAAAAGCCATTGAGTAAGAAAGCAAGGATTGGGCTAAACATCAGAAGGCAAGCTATAAGGGACTGGACAATAAAGATGTGAGACAAGGTATGTTACTCATTTTGACAAACAGGACCCAGAAAAATCATGTCAGGCATAAGGATAAGAAAAAAAAAAAAGCTAAAGAATTTTATTCTCTTTCCTTCTGTCAATCAAAAAGTCAAATTCTAATATGTATACATAACTATATAACAATATAGTTATAAAAGAACTATAATACATACAGAAATGGTATTATCAGAAGATACTGCTTCTGCTGGGTGCCAGTGGCTCATGCCTGTAATCCTAGCTACTCAGGAGGCTGAGATCTGAGGATCATGGTTCAAAGCCAGCACAGGCAGGAAAGTCTGTGAGACTCTTATCTCCAATAAACCACGAGAAAACCAGAACTGGTGCTGTAGCTCAAGTGATACAGCGCTCACCTTGAGCTGAAGAGCACAGGGACAGTACCCAAGCCCAGAGTTCATAAAAAAGACATAAAAAAAAAGAAATGTAGTAATATATGCTAACAACACTAGGATTTAGGAGGTTAAAGTAGGAAGATACCCAGTTCAAGGCCAGCCGGGAATAAATCCTGAGATTCTGCTTCAAAAACATGTGTAAGAAGCCAGGCGCTGGTGGCTCGTGCCTGTAATCCTAGTTACTCAGGGGGCTGAGATCTGAGGATTGTGGTTTAAAGCCAGCCTGGGCAGGAAAATCTGTGATGCTCTTATCTCAAATTAAGCATTGGAACACCGGAAGTGGCACTGTGGCTCAAGTGGTAGAGTGCTTGCTTTAAGCTGCAGAGCTCACGGACATCACCTAGACCCAGAGTTCAAACCCCATGACCAACAAAAAATGAACAAACAAAAAAAACAAAAACCTAAAAGAAAACAATGTATGGACACTATGGCAGAAAAAGTTCGTCAAAGGCTTCCAAGAAGCCAGAACTAGTAAAGATCACAACCAAGACAAGGCACTGGCTCTGGTTACTGTGAGATACTTTGAGAAGGAAAACATGAAGACATGCATATGGAATGAAAAATACAGGTCATCAGAAAAAACTACTAACTTAAAGCATTTAGTGATAAAGAACAAGAAAACTTCTCTAGTAGGTTTGCGGTTGGCAAAGAGGGTACAGTGGAAAGTCACTAAGGTTAAAAAAGAATGCATCTTGGGCTGGGAAGGTGGTAGAGTGCTTGCCTTGCATGCATAGGCCTTGGGTTCAATTCCTCAGCACCGCACCACATAAGCAAAAAGAAAAAAGCCGGAAGTGGCGCTGTGGCTCAAGTGGTAGAGCGCTAGCCTTGAGCTGAAGAGCTGAGGGACAGCGCCCAGGCCCAGAGTTCAGGCCCCACGAACGGACCCCCCCCCCAAAAAAAGAATGCATCTCACTTAAGATGAAGACAGATTATAAAATCTGAGAAGATACTAATCATTATTCAAAACATCAGAGAGATGTGTAGGACAAAGGGACTTGAAGAAGTTATTCATCACTAGCCCATCAAGTAACAGTGCTTTCAAATGATGGAACTAAGGCTCTCCTATGAATTATGAGATAAAGCATCTCTAACTGTAACCCAGACCAGAGAGGGCAATTCTATACCTTTCTTCCCCATAAGCAAGGATATTGCCATAAACATTGAGCAATGGTTAGGATTTGCTCTCCAGATTTATTTTCAAGAAGAAATTCACAGAACCAGTATCATACTTTGCAGTGATAAGCCCAAATCTTTTTGTAGGAAGTCTCACAGGAATTCTGTGTGAATTCTAAACAAGCACTTGCAGTGGTTATTTCTTTTAAGCTACATTTTATTCTTCTTCAATTTGATTTTAGTTCATTGTCATTTAGTGCCAATTTTCTCTAGCATAAAGGCAACAGCCTCATAACCAGAGGGTTGCATTTCATACTTCTCTGCTGTATGTATTATAGGATAGTTGAAACTGCTATATTAAAACATTATTTCTTCACAGTAAAGCAGACAAACTGACTCTCAAAAAGGCAGTCTCAATTTTCTACTTGGAAAGAGCAGAGCTAACATTTTCCACTGATGGCTGAAGGATTATTCACAACACACGTTTTATCTTTGGGTTGTACTGGCTACTTTAAATTCACAAGTTGTTTACTAGAATAACCAATATGTTATAAGCCATAAACAGTTGCCTTTTCCATGTGAAGGATTAAAAATTAAGAGTACAGTCCTGAGTGGGATAAAGCATATAGCTTTCCTAAGACTTAAAGATTCCCCTCCTTTTACGTGACAACATCTATGTAAGGACTGGTTTCTTTCTTGACCTTTCCAAAGAGCTTGAAGTACTTTGTTACTGTGATCTTAGCCCAGAATATTAAATCCTGGAGTTCAAATGACTGGTAATCAAAATTATCACACCATTTTTATTTCAGTACTCTAAGAACTTTATGCCATTAAAACTAGTAAGTATGTTCAGCTGGAAGATGGTACATCTGAAAGGGCCTATGACAAGATTCTGACTTTCAGAGAGCTAAAGAAACTCAGGACAGAAATAACCGAAGAGAGCCGGGCGCCGGTGGCTCCCGCCTGTAATCCTAGCTATTCAGGAGGCTGAGATCTGAGGATCGAGGTTCGAAGCCAGCCAGGGCAGGAAAGTCCGTGAAACTCTTATCTCCAATAAACTACCAGAAAACCGGAAGTGGTGTTGTAGCAAGTGGTAGAGCGCTCGCCTTGAGCTGAAGAGCTGAGGGACAGCACTCAGGTCCAGAGTTCAAGCCCCACGACCAACAAAAAACAAACAAACAAAAAACAAAGAATTGAAGAGTAAATAATGTACAGTTGTAACATGTGGATTCAAGTTCCAGTGTTACCATAAACAAGAATGGGATAAAAGACCATGTTTCTCAGTCCTTGTTTCCCTATCTTAAAATGAGACTGACAATGCTTCCCTCAGAGAGTTAACACAGTGTGAGGTTGCCTGAGTAAGGGCCATATGTTGTTGTTCTTCTCCAGGGTTTTGCTCAGGGCTTATTATCCAATGAGCAATCAATTTCCATTTCAGAATGAAATATATCAATGTCCTCACTACACAGTATAATAAACACAGTTCCAGGCAAAGATGTGCCTCATATCACATGAAAGTGAGGGAAATCTAGAAACTTTATTATGCAACAATCCTTTCATATGGACAATATACTTCTGTTTAATAAAAAAAAAAAAGACAGGTGGGCAGGGAAAAGGGGAGGGAAAGGAAAAGGAAAAAATCTCAGGTTCCAACAAACAGTCTCACCATCTGTTCATCCTCTTTGGCAGCCCAACTGGCACTGAGTGTCTGATCTCCATTGTCTTTTGTCAGGCGAATTTGCACATGCTGGAGATAGGCAGAGAATGCTAATCGGGCCTGCACTCTGCTACAGAAATCCAAAACAACATACTATTATGAGTCAGCATGGTAAACCTCCCAAATGTGTACTTGCCTCTCTCAAGGAAGGCTAGCAAGTATGAATTCATCATATAGTTGAAGAACACAAGGTTTAAAATTCTTTTTCCATTAAAAGAATCAGGGATGAAGAGTCCTATTGATTTTATCATTATTAGCAGGAGAAAAATACAAAATTAGGTTTCCAGCTCATCACACATTGTTTTGACCTTTTTAACATCTTTCTTAGGATATTGGACGTAAGTACTGATTTTTCATGAAAACCTCTATAGAAATGAGAAAATGGGGTTGTGCACTGGAGGGCCTTCAGTATATACTTATCAGATAGTGCAAAAGTATGGATTTTGCTAGGCAACTAACATTTATAATGTACAATAGCCTCTGAAGCAGGAAATAGATAAATCCTACAAAGAAACATTTGAAATCAACATTTAAGGCCGTGCATTTCTTGACTACATGACAGGAGAGGCTAGAGCCCAGAACAAATGAATGAGGTCCAAATGAGTTTGGTATAGATGACCCAGTAAGCCAGGATGAGCCCAGATGTCAAGAGGGGGGGAAAAAAAGTCTTAAATATAGTGAAAAAAAATCAGAGTGAATCACTGAAGAATCTTGACATTTTTCTGCCTGGTGATCCTGGATGCAAACAAAGAAATCTGATCAAGCTACAGTTAACTATGGAGGTATTAGACACATTGACAGATTTCACTTCAGTTGCTAATTGTGGCAGATCTGTTTTCTTTCAGTCAAGATTTTAGTTACTTCAGCTGATTGGCCTTTTGACACTGTAGCCAAAATTACATCAGTGCAGATTAGGGCCCAACACAAACTTTGTTTACAATCCTCACACATGCAATCACTGAACACTCTTTACTCATGATCCCCAAGGTTCACAGGAAGTCCCAAGCAAACTGGAAACCTCAGTGGGGCCAGGACTACTTGGCCTATGTAAGCTGGAGCTCTGGGGGACAGTAGAGTCAGGCTGAGAGTCCAATAGCTCTTCAGTTTTCACTCAAAAAAGCTTCAGAACATGAACTAGAAATAAGGCTAGATCTGTGTTACAAGTAAGGATAGTTTATGGGCACACAATATGAATTCTAACCAATAAATTTATATTTCCAAATGTTTTCAGCAGACAATGACTATATTTTTATTTAACTAAAATGTACATTACTTTCCTCTCAAACATTTCCACAAGTTGTACCATAACATATTTTCAAATCAAAATAATTTTTGAAAATCTTGCACTTTTATCAACAAATTCATATGCAATACAACAAGCAGGAAATAGGTTTTAAGCATCTTCAAATACAGAATACCCAAGTGCATGGATTGGTCCTTTTACATTCAAACATAAAGGTCACTGGGAAGGAAATTACTGTTCATTAAATAAGGATTTCATTGTTTTGAAGCAAATCAAATAAAACATTACTGACTTTTTCATTTGTTTTCAGTACTGGGGTTTAAACTCAGGGTCTTGTGCCTGCCAGGTAGATGCTTTACCAATGAGCCTCACCTCCAGCCTATAAATCTTACTCAAATGATTCTGGGAATGTCAATGCAGAGAGTGTCTTTAAAGGTGTTAGTCAGCTAGTCATTTCCAACTAGCAAGTCAAAACATGAAAGAATGTAAACCAAAATGATTTAAATCAAGGTAACTTATTTAAAAAAACCAAATGGTTGTATACTCTTAGCATGTGAAGTATACAAGCAGGAGGCTGTGTCTGCAATTGAGCCATAGCCTTGATCCTTCCCCAAACTACTCTAGAGCCATTAAGCTGCTCCCATAGGACAAAGGTAGCCTTGGCAAAGATACTTAAAGTAAGATCTCTAAGATTTTTGAAGAAATTTCTCTCTCTCTCTCTCTCTCTCTCTGATAAAGAGAACATTATTAGTAGAAAGGAGATCATAATACAGTCCCGTGGTTTTCAAATTTTGATACAATGGAACCTTTTTCCCCCTTCAGAAAGTAATTTGGAAAATCCTTGTCTAACCCTATGTTTGGCTTGACAAAAACAGAAAATGAGGCCTAGAAAAGTCACTGACTTGTGAGGCCAAGTGTGGTGGTACACTCTTGTCATCCCCTTTACTCAAGAGGCAGACCTAGGCGGAAGTCAGCAAGACCTCATCTCAAAAACAAGTGTGTGGGCTGGGAAGGTGGCTCTGTGGTAGAGTGCATGCCTTGCATGCATGAGGCCCTGGGTTTGATTCTTTAGAACTACATAAACAGAAAAAGCTGGAAGTAGAATTGTGGCTCAAGTGGTAGAGCAGTAGCCTTGTGCTAAAGGGCTGAGGCATAGCACCCAGGCCCAGAGTTCAGGCCCCATGACCGACCCCCCCCCACCCCCCCAAAAAAAAGTGTGTGATGGTACACTCCTGTAACCCAGCTACTTGGGAGGCCAAATGATGATAGTCTGAGGCTACCTGGGGCAAAGCCTAGGACCCTATATGAAAAGCAAACTAAAAAGCAAAAGGACTGGGACATAGCTCAAGTGGCTGAGTACTTGTCTAGCAAGTGTAAGAAAACAAAAGGCCTTTGTCTATGATGACATAAACAGTCACAGCACCAAAAAGATCAGAGCCCAAGTATGCTGACTAAACTCACTAACAGACATTCTCATTCTCAACAACACTGTGCAAACCTGAACTCTTAATCACCACATTCTCTAATATCACTTTCTGTTCTCTCAGTGTAACACTTGGCCTTTATATATTTTATAAATGCCATGGTGGGTAAGTATCTGAGTTTCCTTTCTCTTCAACTTCTACCTACTGCACTCAACCCATGTTTATCCAAGTTTATAGGCAGAGATATCCTTCCATTGGCCTCTTATCACCTTCAAGACCCTTCTCTGCATCCATTGCTGTATCTCTAATGCTTTGGCCATCAAATCCTCCTGGCTTCAGAAGAATTTATCAAGTAGCATTGGTACATCTTTCCCCTTCCTCTCCTAGGGACCATTTCCCAAAGTCTGTGTCCTGTGGATTCCTTGGGGAAAAGGGGAATTATCACCATCACTGCTTGTTCTACTAATGCACGTCAGTTTGCAAATTTAGTCTACAAATAAGCTCCAGAGTCCAGATCTGCCTTCCTTTCACTGAAAGGCTATTTCATATTTGCTTTAATTCTAAGCTCATGACTGCTACTACACATTCTCATTTTGTGTGCAGTCACAAATCTAGGAATCTCTTTTCACTCCTAACCCTAACAGGTGTCTTAGGCATTCCACAACTCTCAGCCTCTATCTTTATTTTATCACTCCCTCTTACTTTTTTTTTTTTTTTTGGTTCCAGTCATGGGGCCTGAACTCTGGGCCTGAGCGCTGTCCCTCAGCGTTTCAGCTCAAGGCTAGCGCTCTACCACTTGAGCCATGG